CCCCAAAACCCCAAAACCCCAAAACCCCAAAACCCCGATAAATATTATTCAAAATGAAATAATTATATTAAAACTGATTTTTAATACCCAACTTTTCTTTTTCAATATTCTTCCAAGATGTGTTCATATTCTTTTTAGCTAGAGTGTTGAACTTCATACCCATTGAGGTTAAGAACTCTTCATAGGAGATTTTACCATCTCCATCAAGATCTCATTCTTTAATGGCATCTATAAAGATGTCTCCACCAAGATCGGGAAAATCTTTCTGAGCAAGAGCGGTTTGGAGTTCATGCTCGTCAATATAGCCATCACCATCTTTATCGAAGAAATGAAAAGCTTCCTCAATTCTTTGGAAATCCTTAGAAACTGTGTCATTGAGGGAGGCTGAGATGAATTCATTGAAATTAATAGCCCCATTTTTATCAGTATCCATTCTTTCCATGATTTCATCAATCTCTTCATCTGTGCGGTATTTTAGTTTCCTTAAGCCTTTAGCTAATTCTTTTCTGGTGATATAGCCATCATTGTTGTCATCAAATTTTCTGAAAAGAGCTATTTCCTCCTTAATATCATCATCGTTTACCTTTGATGCAAGGAAGGAAAGAACTGCTTTCTTGAACATTCCGGAATCTTTGAAGTTTTCGAACCGTTCCATGAGAATCGTCTTGTTTCGAGTCTCTTCATCCATGACGAGAGAGTTCTTCATCCAAGGGTGTTTAAGAGCACGCTTTGCTGTGATGCGATCCTTCTCTGGCACAAGCAGCTTAGAGATTAAATCCTTACATTCACTAGATATATTATTCCAAACAGGATTATCAAAGTTATAATTCAGATTTCTAATATCGCTTTCCATTTCTGTTGGTCTTTCGAAGGGAATTGCAAAAGATACCATAATATACAAGATGATACCTCATGACCACATGTCACATGAGCTTGAGTAGTTCCTATCAAGGACTTCAGGAGCCATATAAAGTTTTGTACCAGCTTTAGTTTCCATTCTCATAACTTCTCCACCACCTTCATGAAACTTGAAAAATTGCCTAGAGAGTCCAAAGTCAATCAATTTGATAGTAGCTCCTGGATCACTAGAAGCTAACATGAAGTTATCAGGCTTGAGATCTCGATGACTGATGCAATTTTTATGGCAATACAGGAGACTTGAAACAATTTGGTGAAATACCCGTTTAGCTTCAGGTTCTGGTAGTCCTTCATTAACCACAATGTAATCAAATAACTCTCCGCCTTCACAGAACTCTTCTATAAGATACACGCAAGCATTGGCTACATCTTCGTAAACTTCATACAGTTTAATAATATTTGGATGGTCAAGGACTTTTAGTGCAGATACTTCCTTTAAGAAGGTATCTTTATTGGTAAGGTTGTAGATATCAATCTTCTTAGCCGCTCTAACCAGCTTTGTTCGCTTTTCAATGGCTTTATAGACCTTTCCAAAAGCTCCTTCACCTAGCGGTGTCTCTCCAAGATCATAATCATCTAAGATGTTATGCTTTTTGTGAGTGATAAAGTACTCCTTTTTGATGATAAACTCTGAAATAATCTTATTTAATGTCCAGTTTATTTCTGATATTCAAATCAAACTGTTTCTTCCTCCAAGGAAGAGAATCAGATTGGGAATCATCCTCTTCATCTGACATTAAATCCCCTATGTATAATGATTTATTTTTGAAGGTACTTTTGACGTGCCTAATAGATCTCTTTGAGCAAGAATTAATGGAGGATAAAAGACTTGATTTTACATACCTTCAATCACAATAACCTCTTCTTTACTTTCTTCCATTTACTTTAAGGAATTACTTAAAATAATTTATACTAAATGGGGTTTTGGGGTTTTGGGGTTTTGGGGTTTTGGGGTTTTGGGG